CAACCGTTGCTATCAACTAATCCCAAACACTCCATGGGACTACCAGTCCGGACTGCCGAAAAACGGCCAGGGGTGGTTTTGGGTCTGTCTGGGGCGGTAGTCCGCAGTCGGCAGTCCCAAGTGTTCTCGATTATATATGACCATCACTCCGGCGACCGCGGCGACCGATTTCACTTCCACACCGGCTACCCTGCTGCACATCACCAAGATGCAGCACATCGGCTTTCGCATCGAGGCGGCGCTTCACTCCGAGCTGCTGGCATTGAGATGCTCAGGTCACTCACATCCGTCGTCCAGCTTTCCTCGTACCAATCCAATGCCTCGGTCCGTCGGACGGCGAGTCCGAAACGGAGAGTTGGAGCAAAAAGCATGGAAGACCTGGCATAGACTGCCCCAACACACAAGAGCTTGATGGAGCTTAGATGTTTCCTGCCCCTCGCGGTGGTCGGTGTTCGGGAACACGAAGGAAAATTTATAAAAAGGCATATACATCATACATATCATATATGATCCACAAATAGTCACAAAGAACAACTGTTTGGCCCGTGGATCTCTTTGCATCATGGGCTGCCTTTTGTCCTGGTGGCCAGAGATTTTGCACCGCCTACAGCCGCCTGCACAAATCAACCTGCACGTGTTTTTGGGGTCTCCCTCTGACTCCCTCTCTCTCCCCCTGGTCCCAGAACCAGGATCCAAAACAAGCCTTGTGGGGTCCCTGTTTGGTCTTTCAGGTCCGACTTCGACTGCGCACAAGCCTGGCGTTTTTCCTTCCGCGAGTCCGCTGGACAAGTGCAGTTCAATTCGCTCAGGTTTTGACTGTTCTGAAAACCTCAGCCGCGGCCACGCGCCCTGCATTCACCTGGGGCTCCAAGGCGTAGGTAGGGGTACTAGCCTTACTAGCCAACATGGTAATACATGGTAGGAGTATTTATCGGAGTCGATGCTTTGTCTGCACCCTTTTGCAAGTGCCAATCCTCTTTGCCAGCTGTCATCTTGGATATCTTAGGGGGCTTGGCAAAGGTCTGTGCTGAGTTGGCAAATGGTTCATGGATGGAGCAGAATCGAGCAGGTGTTCGGTTGATGTACCCTGCTGGAGGCAAGGCTGGAGGCAAGGCCTCACTTGTCAATTGTGGTATAAACACCATACACTCCGACTCTAACTGTCTGAAGCGGCAAGGATTGTACCCAACGTTCGAACCGCATTCCTACTGAGGAAAAATGTGCTATAAGTGACAGCATTTGTGTCTACAAGCTCATGTCCTAGTCGCCCCAAATTGCTTCACCAAGCAGCACCGGCACACGGAGGCAATTTCTTCTCCCACGAATTGCCTGGGCAACGGACTTTCATGCATAGAAGCCAGGGAGGGTTCTTTTTTGCTGCAACCGTCATCTGAATGAAAGGGTCTATCGGTCTATCTGCAATTACCTGAACATGATTTCAATACAATCTGACCTGCTTTTGCCACGGACATGGCCCCAGCAGCCTACGAGAGTGACAGCCCATTGATAATCCTGACCTTGGAAACAGCAGCCATCCGCCCCATGGGACAAAGAAACATGGACAACACGGAAGTGGAAGTTGCATCAAGTGCCATCATCCCAAAACATCCTTCCCAACAATTATTTCCCAAGCACGGGAGAGCTCGCAAAGCCTGAAAGAATGGGCTCAAAGCAATGCAACAACTCATGTGTCGCTTGACGAACGTCGGTTCCTTCATGAGTCTTCTCCCTTCGATACCCGTAGCCACTACAGCTTTCTACACAGCTCCTCCAGGACTCCACCATTTCACACTCCAAAGGGCCCAAAGCTCCCCCATTTTGCTCGATGAACCTCTCATTGCAAAGGCTCCTCGCTCGGTGGAGCGGCCGAAATCCGCCAATGACTGGGCAGTCGGACGGTATAGCTGTGGGTATCAAGCCAGGACTATGGTGGGTCAGTATACTACTATGGTGGGTCAGTACTATCCAACCACCCAAATCTTCAGAAATACTTTTAACCTCAAAGTGGTCCAACATGTCGCTATGGACAAGGAACGTCGACGAAATTTGACACACAAACAGGCACAAACAATCTTGAGGCAAAACAGTAGTGATCCCCAACTACTCGATGTCTTGTTCTCCACCTTAACTCCGGGGTGTGTTCTCCAGCACACCAACGGCCTATTCGGAGCCATCATGACCTTCCGGAGGCCTATTCGGAGCCATCTTGCCATTGCTGAAGAATCGAAACGCCAAGAGACACACACACACCGTGACCTCTAGAATCCTCCCTCTCTCTCTATATATATATATATATAAGTAGCGGTAGCGCGGCCGGTCCCGTCACGCTATGTATATAGAGAGGGAGAGGGACTGGCCAGCCAGTCCGGCCTGTCTTTGGCTTTGGAATTCTGCCGCACCCCGCCGCCGCCCGGAAGGCTCTCTCTCCTCCTCTTCATATTGGTACACAGGCCCCATGCCTTGGTCGAAGCCGTGAAGCCAAGGAGGCAAAGGAAAAAGGTATACAGACCCCCAAACAAATAGATCACCACTAACAATGTGGAAAATATTGGATACCAATATCAATAAACTATAGTGAAAAGGAAAAACTATGTTCCCCCATAAACTCACTTGTTCTGAGGATTGACTCGTGGAAGTCTGTTTTAAATCGGTTTTTCTCTACAAATCCAGTGATTTTGGAGGGTTCCAATGTTAATCCGAGGAGGGGTACTTCTTGGATCATTGGTGCGAGACTTCTTGGGTCACACCCTGACCAACCCCAGCCTCTAGAGCTGACATTGCCCGACATACCGCGGACGTACCTGTGGTCACCTCAAGAGTCAGTTCACTCCTTGTGAAATATATTTCCAAGCATAACCAAGCTATCTGACTGGATTTGCCAGAACCACTTGGGACTACGACCATCCTTCTGCATGTGGCATCCAGCCACAAGTCCAGAAAATTTGCGTTACACAACGTGGGATGAACAAATCCAATCATCTTGGGTATGCCTCATGATGATGGTTCATTTGCGTTCATTTGCCAGGGCAAACTCTCTAATATAGTGATGTTCTCGTTTAGAGACTCTCACAGGTAATGGGACACTCGCAACCAACATCGACCCTGAAGCACTCCAGCTCCACTCCACGGCCCCCCTGAAGCACTCCTCGACCGCCGCGACCACATAGACCACATGGGACATGGCACGGCACCGAGTGCTCCATCAAACAGTGCTGGTGAGTGCCCAGCAACTTGGAGAAACAAAAATATGGGGCTGGAGTAAACAGGTGGAGAATAGTCAAAGCTTCCGGCCAGCCCAGCCAGAAAAGAAACAAAAACAACACATTTTGGCCTTTGTGGTCACATGCGGTCGACACCCTGGGGCTCCTGTCCCATCTCCTCAGGTGACCGGTGGTATTCGACCCGCCTGGCACCGGGCCCTCACCCCTGGCCCATCTTCGAAACGAAGGTGGGCCAGGAGCCCTGGGGACATGTCGGTCACCCGGTCGTCGCCCCGGTCGACCGCGCCGGTTGGACCACCCGTCCTCCGCCGTCCCAGGTGCCACCACGACCGCCTTCGCGGCCCATCTGTCCATCGAGTCGAGGCATCTGAGAGTGCGGTGAAGTCACACGTTTTAGGTTATATTAATCAATGAGACATGTGTTTGGTTCAAAGAGTAAACAGGACCTGTTTTTTAAATATATATAGAGCTATATCATTAACTGAGTAACGAGATCACATCTGTCTTTTGCATGTGCTTAGTAAATCAGGACCTATAAATGTGTCGTTTGATCTCTTGGTGGGGGCATGCGGAGAGTGGTAGTAGGCATGCGGCATGCCACTGTGCTGTACGACGGATTCGATGGCCGCCACTCGGAAGCCGATGGGCTGCCGGTCATGTTGTTACCTACGCGTCCACCTTTCAGGATGGGTGATCAAAATGTAATTCATCAGATGTGAGCCTATACTATCCAGCCCAAAAGGAACGCTCCGTCTGCAAACCATCCGAGGGAAGAAGCGAGAAGCGAGAAATATCATATATATATATACACATCATATAGTAGATCATATTAGGCATATTATATTATCCCGGAGTCATTAAGAGGATCTTCCTGGAGAGTATATTCGTATGCGAGACCAAAACTGCTAGGAATGTCAGTGTGCATACAACCATGAGGAAACAAGTGCAAAGCACTTCGGCCCGGCGTGGCTCTTCTTCTTCTTCTTCTTCGTCTTTTTCTTCTTCTTTCTTGGGCCAAGCATGACAGGAACAACCATCACAAGTAGCATGACCCAACCAGCATGGGATAGCATGAGACATCGTCACACACCTGCGGTGTCGCATCGTGGCACACCCTCACAATATGACCGGGGCATCACTAATCCACGCCTGATCGATCGATACTTAGATTAGACTGGATGACATCACCACTGTACTCACTGTGGTGCTGCCCATCCGTATATATGTTGCTCCACCTCCCCTCAGCTGCTACCTTCCTTCCTTCCTCCCCCGTCGCCCTTCCCCGTCGCCCATCCCGCACGTTGAGGGCGTTCCGGTTCACGAAGTCGGTGACATCGTCCGAGGGCTCACCACGGAGCCTCGGTCCGAGGCCAGCAGCGCCCGTGGGCGGTGCCGACCGGTGGTCTGCTGGTGGACCGGTGGAGGCCCAGTGAAGTCCATTGATCCACCACAATGGAAGTCGATGAGCCTATGAACCTCCATTGATCCACCACAATGGCCCCAGGAAGCACTGACCTTCCGGCAGCCAGCACCTTTTTCCGCTCTGTTCATGCGAGTTCGTACCGCTCCAAGCGCGCGCAGCGCATGGCACGGTGAATTGGGAGGCCTCGGCGTCTGGGGCCTCAGTGCCAAGGTGCTTTGGTGAATTTGTATTCAGGGATGGGTCAGGAAGCTGCCTGCCATCTGCAGGTATCTGCACTGCTGGAAGCTGCTGAATGATTGAGTTGATATATATATATATATTTATATGTGTGTGTGATAATACCTGTATGTGTGTGTGGAATATAAAATACATAAAGCTATTTTCACTCGTTTTTTGGCAACACGAGTCATGGTTGGTGACTCAACCATGACGATCCTGGTTCTGCCGGATCAATCACAATCATCTGAAGTTGCAGCCTGAAAGCACAAAGAATACCCAAACACTCCATGTATGCCATATATGCCTACATTGACCCCCCAAACCACCCCAACTGATCGGCATATATGGCAGTCCCATGGAGTGTCTGGGATATATACTTGCAATATACTTGCACTCTTCTCGCTTCATGTGCCGTAATTGCCCCAGTTATCGTTTGGCTCAATCACCAGCCGTTTCCAAGCTGTGAAGAGAATTCTCGACAGTTCCATGTAGACTCTTGATGAATACACCCCCCCGTTTGAATTGAACATCCTCTTCAAAGGGGTGGTTTGTTAATCAAGAGTCTACATTAAATAGTCATTTCTAGTCTCTTAAGTATTCAGTCCAGTCACGGATGTGATGCCCCCGGTGAGCTGGAGCTGCTTTAAACATGGGAAGGGCAGCACCGGACTCCTCTGAAAATGGCACTTCCGTTCTATTCCAACCTCTGAACCGTTTCTTATATATATATATATTATATATTACATCATGTGCTTCTCTTAGCATGGAACAAATTCCAACCTCAAAAACCCTCAGATAGCCGACTACCCATTGGATAGAACTCTCCGATCGCCTTCTCCACGGGGCCTTTCATTCAAGATATTGCCGCATATGCCCATAGGCCAACTTGGCTGCCTCGTGCTGCGAACAAAAGGTGCCTGGTGTGAATTAACAGCTGGCTGGTTGGGTTTATGAAGCTGCGAAGATTGGCAGAGTTGGTCCAGCCCCTGGTTTCTTTAAGATACAGTAACATGGACAGTTGACTGATTGTGAACACCACCCATTGACAGGTTCAGCTTGTGATTTCGTCGGGCATTGTATCGCATTGTTTGGCTGCGTGTGTGGGTCAGATACAACATGTGTGTGTGTGTGTTCAATCTATTCAGCCCGCCTGTTTTCGGAGCAGGCATGGTCTCCCGTCCGGCCCGCCCGAGTCCTCTTGTTCAGCCTCCCTCTTCGTCCGACAGGGGTGGCTCGTTTGAGTGAAGTCCTTCTCAGCTGAGACGGTGACCTGGAAGGGTTGAGTGGTGCCGCTAGAGATAAAGAAACAGGGTTTCTTACGGGCCTTAAGCGCATCAAGTGCCAAACAAGACAAGATCGCCTACAAAGCAAGATCGCAGCCATCTGGAAAGTCTAAATTGGCTCAGAAGTGATTCTCAAAGAGCTTCCAAGACAGTGGACTCCTATGGTCCTAGGACCACCGCAAAGAACTTAGCTCCTCGCTAGGTCCTGATCCTGACTGTGGAGTCCGGGATTCGACGGATTCGAGGAGTGTTTGGTCACCAGGGCGGGCGGGACCTGACCTGGGCGATCCAACCCCCATTTTCCAGGCAGGCTCTGTACTTCAGCAGCTCATTGAGTGGCGTCTGGAACTTTTGCTGCAAGAGCTCCTGGAGAGCAGTCCTTAGCAAGCTTGTGCACAGGCGGCGGCTAGGGAGTTTGGAACAGTTGAAAGGTTCGGAAAAATATCGAAACATCAAGCCCCACACGTGCATCCACGTTCAACGTCTTTCAGCCCGATTTTGTTCGAGCATCGTTTCTTGCTCGAAATCTGTGGCCTCAAAATACTCGGATTTTCACACGACCACTTCTAAAAGGAAAATAGTTAATCTTCGACCGATTTCAAGAATCCCATGGTTCTTTGAAGATGCAGGAAGTTGAACACGGTAGGTTGGAACATGGTTGAACCCCTACATTCTTGTGATATTTTGGGGTACAGTATATAGCCAGCTTTAAAGCGGAGACGATACAGGTTGGCAGCCCTTATGTTCATTCAGGCGAGGTCATTCATTAACAGCGGCACTTGCAGCACCATCATCGACTCGGATTGCTCGTGTCGGGGCGAGTCACTCAACGAGAGATCGACAGGATGCAGCTCGGATCCACTGTGGCCACTTGAAATCGCTTGAGGAAACACGGGTCGCCATGCACGGCGACCCGTGTTCGGGCAAACCCTATAGAAGACTAGTCGAGCCGGTTTCCCCTATAGGCCCGTTTGCCCCATGTGGCCGGGCGGCCATTCCCCAAACCCCAACGCGCACGCGTTCTTTTTCCACGAGCACGGAGACGGCGCCCGGAATTGGAGCCATCGTTGACGGAGCGAAGTGCACACTTTGCTAAGTCCCGGGTCCATCAGGTCCTGTGTCTTTGACAGACATAGATCAACCCACGTCCTTTAGGGTCAAGGTGCGCAACTTTATGATGTGTGGCTATATGGTTGGAGTTTCGAAATCACTGGAAGTTCGGGAAGTTCACATCACTGGCGCCCACCGGAGGATCTAAAAGTGAAGTTCACGAGTACCTCAACAAAGTCTAACATAGGCCAACTGTGTCAAGTCCTGATGGTCAGGTTTCGCATGGACAGCGGAGTCAGCATTTGGAACAGTACAGTATAGAGGAACACAAGGAAGACCAGGACATACTTGCGGCGTGTCACTCTCCCCAGCGAGGGTTGCTAGACTGTCAAATAGGTCATGAGTTGAAGGGTGAGTCTTATGTTGGTGCGCAAGCCCTCGAGCAGAAAGGCGGAAGGGGCAACCTGCTCCGACCGGTCACGAAAAAGAACTCTGAGCTTTGTCCTGCCGGCGCAGGAACCTGGCGTCAGAACCTTAAACTAAGTCGTGACACAAGCACTCTATGGCGCAAAGCACTCTGTGGCACAATCACTTGCGACAATCCATGATGGGCTCATTGGCAATCTAGTGAGCTTCAAGGGACAAGCAATAACCGATATAAGTGATATAAGCATTGCAGGCTCCCGAGCCATGAGTGAGAACTTCAAGCTCCTGCACCTGCTCAGCATGACTTGCAATCGGTTTTTAGATGACCACACCTTTTTGTTGTTGTTGTTGTCTAGATTCGCCAACACACGTGGCATTGCTCAAGGTCGAAAGGTCCTCACCTAAGCATCGACTCGCATCAATCTCTGTGCGTCAGAAAGGCGGCCAAATGATCTTGCTGCTGCACAAACAGCCTCTATTCTGTGGGCATCAGAGTAGTAGTTGAGTCGAGCTAACAAACACACTTGGCCCCTACACCAACGGCACTCTCTTTACACCTACCACCACACCTTGTGTCGCAGCAAACACCGCAGGTTCACACTGGCAGCAGGCACGGCCTGTGGTCGCAAAACGGCTGGTAAACGACTAGTGTGTGATCCACCGGACTGTCCAACTGACCATTATGGAACAGTCCATTGCCTGACCGTCGTAGCAAGTTGCCAAGCCACCGGTGCGTGAAGTGGTGCGTGTGGTGCGTGTTACTCCACACTCGGTGTCACAGTGGAAAAACGCATTACACTGCCCGCTGCGGTGGTACAGTAGTAGACCCCATAGGCTCGAAAAAAACAAAAGGCAGCGACGATGAACAAGGCAGCTCGTGTTTACCGCTTACCATGTTCGATTTGCCAGACTGCCTGCTGCTCAATCCGGATGGCCTTTGGTCACCTGAATGGGCTGAAGGACATATAAAGCTTGCTTGTTCGGTTGAATCTACAGCGAGGTCCATGCAACCTACGACCCTCACACAAATGAGTGCCACATCTAGCAATTGCATCTCTTTTGAGAGGTGTGCAGTGCTTGTTATCTTACGTTCATTCTGGTCTTTATCATTCCAGTAGGAGACTCTGCCGGCCTATCTTTACTTTTGAGACAAAGAAAGGCATGCTCTATCATGCTCTACATGCAGCATGCTCTGCACCTGAACTGTTTTCTGGCAAACCAAGGAACTGCGCACCTTTTGGAGTTTCGTAGCGTATTTTGATGAAATGAGGAGCACCTTTTAATGCTGTGGATAAAATAAGACCTTTTCTTAAGATGTTGAACACTGAAGTCTTCTTGGGCAACCCGCAAATGCACGTGGCGAACCACCCCAAAATGGGTTGGACATGAGAGGGGTCCATATGACTTTTTTGATCTTTTTTGCGTGTTGGCAGCGCTTTTTGCTTGAATGAGCACTTTTTGACATGAGCGTTTTCTTTTGAAGCTTCAGGAAGCTTCAGGCACTGTTCAGCTGTGGGATCTAGCGATCTAGCTGCTTTCCACCAGCAACGCAGGCGGTGGGTCACGCGTAGCTCGAGCCTCGCACCTCGCACCTCTTCGGCCTCGCTCTCTTCACTTCACTACGGACCGCCCAACGGACGTGGCCCCGGTCGCACCAGTCTCGGCCGCCTCGGCAGGGCGCGCTGTCTCGGCAGCCCATCGCATGAGCGTTTCGAGTGCACTGATCGCTCTGCATCGAGTGCACCGAGTGCAGCGGGCTAAGCCTGAAAACATCTCTCAAAGATCGCAGCTGGCCGTGTTCGTGCTGTCAATGTTCGTGTGTTCAATGCTTCTTGTGTTTGTGCTAAACTTGCCGGGTGTCATGGTGAAATGTGATGAATAGAGTCTTGTGGATGCTGGAGGCTGTGGCCATGTCTACCACTATATCACACGCATCTCTCCCAAACAGGGCAAGGAACAAATTCATAGACTCGTTGAGATTTCAGTGGCAAACGCCTTCATTGTGCACCATATCTGACTGCCACATTAAACGTCATGCTGAAGCAGGAGCCTGACGGACCTTGGAATTGAAAGCTGTTCTTTTCTTATGTTTGACAGGGGCCCTAGACATTGCATTTGCCATGTCAACAATGGAAGTGCAGCATGCCTGGCTAGTTGGCCCCGATGCGGTTTGGAAAGAATAGGGAGTTGCTCGTGTTACGCACGGCTGGTCATAAAGGCAGTCAATAGTGCATGATCTGCCAAAAGAGTTGGCCGCGGTAAACGGAACTTGGCAACGCCAAGTCAAAAATTGAAAAAGAAGCTAGATTGCTTAGGCTTGACTCGCCTTCCTTGCACCAGACTCTCGCCCCAAATAACTTTTACAATTTTCTGCAACAGTCTTCCACTGGAAATCCAAACCTTGCGTTTCTGGAGGATATCTTGTAGCTCTCGGGGAAGAGAAGACATCCAGGGTTCATTCTTTACCAGGGGCCGGTTGAAATCAGCTCCTTGGGAACAAAAGCAGGCGAGGTCATCCAAAACTTGGTCAGAATGATGTTTTGGAACAGGGCCAGCGAAACAGTGGCTGTGACTTTTTGCAATTCTGTGTTTGGATGCATCTGGTCGGATCTTTGTGCGTTGGGCATGTTCCTGAAGCACGGGCCTCCGATTCTCCATATACTCCAAGGCATTGGACAAAGCAAACCAGGGTAAAAAAGGTGTCTCCGGACAGCCTGTTCTTGATATGAACTTCTCATCAACTGTTTTCGGACGAATCGTCAGCACATCCATCGTAGGTGTGCTGTTGGGAGCCTTTGATTAACGGAGGCCGGCTCCCCCATTCTGCAATTGGCCCAGGCGTGATTTCGGCAGTGGCCAGCGGCAGCTGCTGTGAGTGTTATGTTAGCTCTGGAGGCAGCACAACGACATCTACATGAGCAATATCATCACCGATTAAGAGATTGCCATTCATCACAAATCCTTGCCAAAAACACCCCACGCCTTCATCTCCACACCAGGCGAAAAAAGCAGCGTACACGCGCTTGGCGCATAATTCTGCACAACTTCAACTACCCCTGTTTGCATTCCCAGAATGGATGGGCTTCGTTGCAACTGGGCTTCGCTGCCAGGCTGTAGCAAAGAGCCATCTTGCGGGATATAAAAGGAACATGCTGAAAGCAGCAGGAGTCCGCGCATACCCAACAAAACACTTGAAAACTACAGGGTTTGGAAAGAATAGTGCATGGAAGACAGTCAATAGTGCACGATCTGCCAAAAGAATAAGCCGTGGTAAATGGACTTTGGCAACGCCAAGTCAAGCTTTGAAAAAAAAAGCTAGATTGCTTAGGCTTCACTCGCCTTCCTTGCAACTGTCTTCCACTGGAAATCCAAACTTTTAGCTCTCGGGGTAGAGAAAACATCCAGGGCTCATTCTTTGCCAAGGGCCGGTTGAAATCAGCTCCTTGCGCGAGGTCATCCAGCATCAGCGGTGGTGAATTTTACCATATACTTACGAGGTGGCTTCCGCAAGCTTCCACGACTGCAGTTTTGGCTTCAGCGGGCAAGTTGAACTTTACAAGTTTGTTTCAACAGTTCGTGAGAGGTTTTTGACGCTGCTCAGTTGGGACAGTTGCAGACATGCCGGGGAACTTACGCAACATGTTGGGAACATTGCAGGCTGATTGTTCTTGACATCATTTTTGGAACCCAGGCAAAGGGTCTTGCAGCCTTGCAGAAAGCTTCAGCTTGCAAATGAAGCTTGACTGACCTTGGTCATGGAGATTGGCCGCTGGCAAGCTTCAAAAAAAAACCATCGGTCGACATCCAATATGCCGGAAGCTGTATCTGTAAAGGGCGGAAAAGGGACAAATCAGGGTGCCATCAAATCTGACCAAAAGCTGCTGGTGATGCAGTGATTACCTG